ACTGTATATTTAACATCTGTATCCATCACCACATGCATACAGTAAATACTGTACATGCATTCAAACATACACATTCAATACGTAAACGTATCTACATACCATATCATTCTAATTCACAGCTATAAAAATATGAAAAGGAGAGTTCATCTTTTACAAACACAAATTCAATATATTTAAGCTGACTGATTAAACAAAATAATATATTATGGATAGGAAAAACTAATAACGTAAACCAACAAATGAACATCTGTAGTTCAACAGCCTTCGCTGTAAACCCTAGGCCTATATGAAGAAGAGGGACGTGTTCTACTTTTAACATTGGTAGCGCCAGTTCTAGCAAACTGGACTGAAAAATGTAGCAACAACAAAGACCTACAATCATACAGATGATTGACAGATAGTCAGTGAAACTGTTTGCAATACAATACTGTATGCATACTGGTTTTATAAAAAAAAAAAAAAAGAAGATTTTTCTGGGTTTCTAGGTTTGACCTAAAAAGTAACCAATGAATTATTATTTTTTTTAAAAACAACTAATGATTTTCATTTTATTGTATGACTGATACTAAAGTACAACTGATCAGTTTTATTTTTTTGTTTTCTTTTATTTCATTTCCAAAAACACAAAATGAAACAAAATTTTCACCGATGCAGCGGCAACATAACAAATTGATCAAAACAAAGAGATAATGACAATAATAATCATAATATTATTAATTACAATTATTATACAAAATAAACATCACACACAAAAAAACACCAATAAGCAAAACTTCTAGCAATAGGGCCTATAATGTTTTAGTAAATTATATATCATAAGCATAGATATGCACACATCAATATAGTCATGGTATACAGATAATTTACATTATTGTTATTAACATAAAATTGTGATTTACAATAATAACAATACCAATAATAATAATATTATTGATTGTTATAAAACAATATCTATTTTTCATGTTGAATATTGACCTTACTTTAGTCTTAATACATGAATCATGTTAAGAGGTTTATTAATGTACATTTTTTATGTTTTCCCCTCTAAATATTGGTGTTTGTCTTGTATTTTGAATGTTTTTATATTTTTTGTACTGTAAATTGTCTTATCCAATTAAATGTTTGATTGCAATTAAAGTTTAATTTTTGAATTTGAAATAATTTTATTATTTATATAAAAGTAACACTACAAAGAGTACTTCTTTACTTCTATTTTCACAAGCCATTACATATTAAATTTTAAATTTACTTATTAACTAATTATTATTATTATTATGTTACAACTGGGAACATTTTGAAATGACTGAAACACAATAAAATTGTGACATAACATTAAGACACAAAAACAAGGTAATTTCTAGTGCACTAATTATTAATTATTATTATGTTACAACTGGGAACATTTTGCAATGACTGAAACAATCAAATTTAAAATTTATAACATTAAAACAAAAAAACAAGGTAATTTCTAGTGCACTAGTATAGTAAGAATTTAGCATAGTTTTATAGTGAGATTTTATATAGCAAATCAATGGTTGCTTTCCATCCTGCAGGCTGAATTGTTATAGCATTCCCTCATTTGGTGATAAAAATACATTATAAATTAATGGATGATTGCCCAAATAGCATAGCATATTCATGGTAGATGTAAGAATCATAATAGAACTTGAATACACTATTTGAGTATTTAATATTTTCTCATCAAATCCCAAATTACAATATGCATATTTTTGTTATTACATAACATATTTGAGAAATTTGTTTTATTACTAATTAACTTTGTCACCAACTTTAATGAGCAATGCTCCAAACTTTCCCTGGACACCCCTATTATCTTCGTCTAAATGAACTTAAGTATAATTTGCAGAGGGTTGGGTTGCAAAAACGGTCCTTTTGGGAGTCATTGCTAGTTGTCCATATACAGAATTATAGGTAACGATCACACATTCATTTCACGGGCCATTTATTACGATAGTAATAATGCTGGTTCCATGAATATTTTATTGTCTAGACTTGCTTATTAATTGTGTTTCATTTATTATTTGAAAATGACATTTACCCGATAGGTACTACTAAGTATAGTCAGACAATTGTTGGACGTACCGATAAATTTTATTTCTTGGCAGATTGGAACTTACTATAGATGAATCATCATGGAAAGCAAAGTTAAATAGATCAGAATAGATGAGTTATTAATGTGTATTTATTTATTTATTGTCATTCATTCCTTTGGTCGTTCTGTCCTTCGCTCATTTATTTACTGACCATCATTCTTAGCAGTAGATTATCAATAAAGCATGACTAATAATTTGGACCCTAAATAATAAACAAAGAAAAATGAAAATATAAGAGCCACAATATGCTAAGATGTTATAAAACTCTCATATAGAGGTCAATGTTTAAATTCTTTAATTTCTCACTAACTTCAAGTAATTACATCTTTTGAAATCTTAAAGATTTTTTATAATAAAACTGTATCCATGTATAAACATCACTATAATAATTAATATATGGTATAAATAAAATATACACAGTAAACACATATTCCATTTTATTAGGTTGATTATTATGGTTTTCTGGTAAGCCTTTGTTTAGCAAAAATTTAATGGATCAAAAAATTTTTTGAGGGCATACACACACACACAAGTGTAAAATTCAATTTATTCTGATGCTGTCACTTCACACCCCCTATTCCACAGTCATACAAGTAAACCTGCCAAATGCTGGGGTGGATGCAGGGGGTACAGACTATGCAATCGCACCCCCCTAAATTGTATTAAGAAAAATAATTGTTGTATTGTATTGCTGATATGAATTACTGGTAATTTAATGTATGAGGGTGCACCTGGAGATCCTTATTCTCAAAATTTTTGATGATGAGAAAATAAACGAAGAATGAAAATGAAAAATGCAGGTATTAAAATATATTAATGGCATTACAGTAGTCAGCCACGATGGACTGACCCCTCTCATATGTTACTGGTTGCGTTACATATATATGTCTTACTTTTAAGAATTGCAACTTCGTCATTTGCCTCGGATGAAAACAATTGAAAAAAAATAAAGAAATGAAATAAAAGTGGGTGAAATCCCCACAAAAGAGAAAAAAAGACTACAAAATAAATTCCACCTAGGCCTAGGCCTAGGTAGCCATCTTAGATCTAAGCCTAGCCTAGACCTAGAGGAGACATCTTTAAATTTTTCTCACCTCAGCCACAACCCTGGTGTGTCTGAGGTAGTGCGGCATTTTTTTCCATAACCTTGTCAGGTACTGGAAAGAAACAGGGTAGGCTTAGGCCTAGGCCTCGCCCTCAGCCTCTACTACTACTCTGCCATACATAGCCAGCCTAAAAAGAGGGGAAGCCACGCGGGGGCTATCATTTATCAAAAAGTGAGAGAGGCCTACCTAGTCCTAGGCCTACCTAGCCTGGGCTGGCTAGCCAAGTTTTATTCGATCAGAAATATAAAATGGTTATTTGAATCATATTTGAATATCATATTTATATCATCAGACATTTTCAAATAAAGAGTAAAGTTACCTTGAAAAATGTCACTTTATTTACAAAGAACTTGAAGGCAGCTAGCTGGAAACGTAGTTGGTAGTGTGTAGGAAGGCCCTCTATCTTATGAATATTCATTAAAAAGTTGATATTCATAGCCAATCAAATAACTCATTTTGCTTTACTCTAATATTATTATTGTATACGCTGTGAGTATTACAAAGTTATAAATCCAAAATGAATTGCTCAATCAAGATGAATTAAGATATCAACTTCTAATAAAACAGATCACAGAAATTTCTTTTCACAGATTTAATTAGTAGAAGTTATGGTAAACAATCAGATTCATTTTCTTGATGCTCTGATTACAGTTAATAATGATGGCAGCTTGTCTACATCTGTGTTTAGGAAGCCAACACACACAGACCAGCAGTACCTCCAATTTACTTCAAACCACCCTTTACAACATAAACTCAGTGTTATCAACACATTACACGATAGGTGTGAAGCACTTGCACGAAATAAGAAGAAAAATCATAAATTGTGCATTGAGCAACTGCGGTACACAAAATGGACAATGGATAGGGACAAACAAAACAGGAAAGACACGGAAAAGAAGAAAAAACAGAAAGAACCTACAATTACAGATAATGAAATGAAAGAAAAATGCTGGTCAATGTTGAAATACTATATATACAAAAAGGTATCACGGAAAGAATCTCAAGGTCTCTAAGACAACACAAAATTAACTGCTTCATAAAACCCAAGAAGAATTTTAGTCAATCCCAAGGGAGGTTCCTAAAGAAGAAAAGTACTGTTTATGAAGTCTAGTGTCTAAATTGTGAGATGGCCTATATCGGAGAAACAGGTCGAACACTGAAAACAAGAATAAAAGAACATAAAGTAGATGTGAAAAAACATATTCCAGGTATCCGTGGCACAAGAACATCAAGAGCCTCTACATCCACCGAACCACATAAATCAGCTATCTTGGAACAAGCCATTCATTAAAACCACATTAAAGGTTGGAACAACATAAATGTACTTAACAGTGAATCCAAGTTCTTCCAAAGACAAGTTAAAGAAAACATTTGGATCCAGAAAACCATGCAAGTTATGAACAGGGACACTGGCTCATAACCTGTTGATTCCAAGAGCATCATATAGGGACGCCTATCTAAGACCAAGAAAACTCGTCTACCAATCGGATTGAGGGCGTATCACACCACGTATATAGCGATGTTGACTGGCATTAGAGTCAATGCTTGAGAAAGGATAGCCAAAGTGCATCTGAAACATTGCAGGTATGTAGCATTTATTACAAATAGTTAAACAAAAGAAAAATATCCAAAATACCTCTGAAACAGGTGAATTTATTTAAAGATTTAATTAGGGCTTACACTTTACTATGAAAATAAATCTTTAGTTGCTTCTTTAATTTAATTCAGAACGTTTCACTATTCTTGATTTCACAAACAATTATTATCAACTTAAAATTAAAGAAGCCCAACTTCACATGGCTTGGGAAAATCTTTCCTGTAACAAACTCATTACAATACATATGATTTACCACAGTATTCAGCTATAATATATGACTTACCTTAACATTTGTCTATTTGCTATACATCTGACCAGTAGTAAATCTAGCAATGAAGCGCTATTGTCGATACTTACTGACGTGTGTACACGTCAAAACATGTTATTTATAAGTAGGCCTATATCATTAATTTTATTAGATGCACTACTGTATTTGCAACACTTATGTTTTTGTCTGTAATATTAGTGTCTGAAATAATTAGTTTTTTTCGATGAAGTAGTAATGTGAAGAAACCTAAGAAAATGATTTGGTCTTAAGACAGGCATTGATATTGATTGGTTTGAGTTCATGCTACAAAATGTAGTACTCTTTGGAAAAGAGTAGGAGATTTTCACCACCAGAAGTATGCCAATGGACGCAAGTCTTCTGTCTTTCGTGAGTCGCGGCTCCGCGAGCACCCCTACTAGGGATGGATATGTGCGCCTAACAAAATTACATTATTATTATTATTACTGTATTGTATTATTATTATTTTTTGTGTCTCGCACACCAAAGAAATTCAAACATAAAAACAAAAGAATATATATAAATGAAATATCTTTAATTCACATATCACATCTTATCTCAGGCAAAATTATCTTAAAACATTAGAATATCACAAACTGTGGGAATTGTATTGCTCAAAGTTGAGTTGCCAAAAATATATGCTTTTCAGAGCACAAAGTGAAAATATTTTAAAATTCCAGATATAACATTATATGCATGAGACTACCATCAGTGGCAGATTTCAAGTGGAATTCCAGCCAGCACAGCTCCCTCCTCCTTTGAATTTTTCAAAATAAAAAAAAAATGGAGAAAAAAGAAATTATATTCAAATTTTAAGTCTGATAGTGCCATTTCTGGCCATCTAGAGGTGCCATAATCATAAATTGTCATACCTCGGCTGAGGTGGTATTTAACCGCCACCTGTGAAAATCCCTCACCAGCGCCCCCTCTATTTTTAATTTCTCAATCTGCCACTGACCATAATATACTCTGCCACAGAACATGATTACAAACAATAACAATATTGTAAAACATAATAAATTATTTTACTATCATACTTTTGTTCGATTCCCTTTGAAAAGTGCATTAAGTTCATTAGTTACAATACCTGGCAATCAATTTGCCTTCTGATATTTTCAATTGCACATGCCATATGCCATAAACAAATAATCTATCCTATCACATGTATGTACAGTGGTAGCCAAATCATTTGTTTACATACTTTGCTGACCTTCGACACAGACGTGCAAGTAAAACTATTCTTTTTGGCCTCTAATTAGAGTTCCATATATGGTTATATAATGTTGATATTGAAATTTGCATATTAACAGAGCATAAAATTACCTACACTTGGTATGTTTGCAAGAGGAATTTGGATTCTGAACCTTGCTCAACAATCTTTTGCATTTAATTGGTCCCTTAAATTTTTCTGTTATCCTTATCCAACAAAACATGGAGGTATTATACTGAATTATTAAAGATAAAACAAATAAATAATAAAAAAGCAATAATATCATTCCAAAACAAAATAATTCATGATTTATCAACTGCCGTTAATTAACTACTATTAGGATTTGTATTTTATGTTTTAGATCAGCATAAAAAAGCTAGCCTCATCCTGGTTGCACTGGAGTAGGCTAAACATCATCCTTTTGCAGGTTTTCAACTGTCTAGGGCTCAGTTCTTCATACAGCACCTGCTCCACCAGTATCTAACTACAATACTTCCATCTTTATCACTGGGTTTACTTTTTTTAGATGGTTTTAATATTGAATTAGGTTAAATGTCTTCTTGCACTTTTTTTAATCCCTTTCAAACCCATCATCATTCAGTGCCTTAGCTCCTTATTCCAGTATCTAGCTTAATCTCAAGATCTATGGCTTGTCTTCCAGATGGTTTCAATCTCAAATCTAGGTCCATATTCATCATGTATTTTCTCAACCCCTTTCAAGCCTATTCTCATCCCAGCCTTTGCCTTTTGCTCTTTATTTCAGTGTCTCCTCTGATCTCAATATATGATGGCCTGTCTCTTCTAATAATTCATTTCAAATGGTTTTAATATCAAAATTTGGATCGTCTCTATGTTGCATTATCTCAACCTGTTTTGTCATTTTCATCATGTTGTCAAATGATGCACTCAGTCCTGACATATGATGGTAGTACGCTTCCTTTTCAATTTGTACTGTGAAGTTCTGTACGCCGCATTCTTTGAATATTGCACTGACCTGTAATTAATTGATAAAATACATGAGATTAAAACTAAAATTTATTATCAAGTACAAAAAAATAAAAAAATATTAGTGAATGAAATTTGTCTTTATATATATATATAGTTACTTTTATACTGCTTGAGTTAATAAACTTGAATAATAATAATAAATTAAAATTTTTAGAGTGCAAATTATATAACAATGTTAAAATCAAATTTGCTTTTGACTGAAATTTATGATGTTTCCTTAAATGTAATGTTTTGATATTAGCTTTGAAAGTGGATATTGTTGATGACTGCTTAAGGTGTAATGGTAGAGAGTTCCAGAGTGTAGTAGCTTCAAATATGAAAGATCTATTGCCAATAGTCTTGAAGTTGGTTCGGGGAATAGATAAAAGGCATTGGTGAGAGGATCGAAGGGCCCAGAAGGGGTATATATGGGAAGGAGGTCAAGAATTTTGGACGGTTGTGCAAAGATGAGAGCTTTGTAAGTCAGGAGGAGAATTTTGTACTTAATAGAAACAGAACTGCTTACTTCAATGAAAATGTAAAGAAAAAATGGAGTTTTACCAATTAACAAATGCATAAATAAAGCGGTTTCTATATTCTTTCATAAAGACAGCCATAATGAAAACAGCAAAGATAACAAGAATAAAGATGACGAGAACAAAGATGTAGGATATAAACGATGAAAATTATGAATACCAAAAACGAGAACAAAGATGAGAAGTATGATGATAAAAGTAACACTAACAAATAATAACCTTATGTATAAAATTTTAAAAGCAATTCCTGAAATTCTTTCTAACAAATCTTGATGCTATTAAACGGATTTCAGGAATACAAACCTACGAGGGCAGCATTTACAAATGTTAGCTTTGATTCTCATTCTGAATACCCCTCATTCTTACCTGGTGTATAATCTTTTGTTCATTAGCATCTGATTCAACTTGTACATGCAGTGTGCCAGCAACGACGGCTGAGTGCTGTTGCCAGAAATGCTGGTTTTTGTAAGACAGTACCCCTTCAATCACCTTCACCTGAATATAAAAAATAACAATTGGGTTCTAAATGGTTGCCATGAAGTTTAAAACTTTCCTAAATTCATCCAAAAAGTAGGTAACTAATGATGTAAATTGATTGTGTTTGGTAAAAACCAAACTGCATATTGTACTGCATATTACAATACTTTTTATAATCAAGTTTTTAAATTTGTGTGATCTGTAAAAATTTACCTTTTTAAGACCTTCAAGTATATTGTTTTCCAGATCAACCGGTGTTCTCTGTAGGAGAATTATAGAAGTCTCCTTCAAGAGTGGCATGATGCTAAGGAAGATGAGGACAGCAATGAAGATGGAGCAGATGGGATCCGCTACCAGCAAACCAAACTGATCAATAAGGAATGATGAGATGATCACACCAACACTTCCCATCGTGTCTGCCAGGACGTGGAGGAAAACACCTAAAGAAGAACCGTAATGATAATACCGCTCGTACCTTCATTTTATAGGGGTTAAAATTAACAGAAAAAGAATCATGCAACAGGTGCTATATGTACATGGATATATTTATAGGCATTATATAAATAAAGACATCAAAAATTTAAAATGGACTTTCAATTGTATAGAAAAATGTTAAATTTTACACGATACCACCATTAATAATACCTTAATGTAATAATATTTTTCAAAATCACTACAATTAATAACATTGTTCTATAACTGAGAGTGAGAGGAATTGACAGAAAATATATGAAACAAACTGTATTCCTAGAGTAATATGGTCATTCTAACAAGTTGTGATACTACAGGTATTTGAAACAACCAATAATATAAAGGTAATTTCTGGATGTATACATTTTTAACAGCTGTATACGGATGAATGTGTTTTACACTTAATGATATCAGCTTGTTAGAGGGAATGGTTAAGTCTTTTAGTCTGTAGTTAATAAAAAAATTTATGTAAATTTAGCATCTATTCTTGACAGAAAATATATGAAACATAAACTGTATTTCTATAGTAATATAAAGTTAATTTCTGGATGTTTACATTTTTAACAGCTGTATACAGATGAATGTGTTTTACACTTAATGATATCAACTTGTTAGAGGGAATGGTTAGGTCTTTTTTCTGTAGTTAATAAAAAAAATTATGTAAATTTAGCATCTATTCTTGACAGAAAATATATGAAACATAAACTGTATTTCTATAGTAATATAAAGTTAATTTCTGGATGTTTACATTTTTAACAGCTGTATACAGATGAATGTGTTTTACACTTAATGATATCAACTTGTTAGAGGGAATGGTGTAAGTCTTTTAGTCTGTAATAAAACAAATCGTGTAAATTTAGCATCTATTCTTCTTTAAATTACCTTCCATGTTTGTATTTTTATGAGTTTGACCACCTGAGCAACTTGGACCATGCGAACCACTAGCACCATGTGAATGGCCATGATGTGCACCATGCGAATGACCATGACCTCCCCCACCACCACCATGGTTATGGCCATGGCTGTGAGCATGGGCATGATCTGGAGATGACCGACCTGATCCGTGCGAATGGCCATGACCGTGCGAGTGGCCGTGTCCATGTGTGTGGGCATGGCGAAACGCAAAGATTCCGATCAAGTTGACACACAATCCAGCAACGGAAACAGTCTGTAGTATATCAAACAAAAAACATGAAAATCACATACTGATGGTAACAAATATTTTATAGTTTCTGTTTTGGGCTGAATTAGGGCTCAAACAGAAATGGGTTTATTGTATAGCTTTAGGATTTGTGTTTCTTCAAATTTAAAGTAAAAAATCAAAATGTTTGAGGAGCCTATAGTTTTAAAAGTAAGATGCCTGCCTTCGATTTCCAGGTTCTAAGGTAAGTCCAAATCCTAGAAATTCCAGGATAAAAAGCAACCTCACCCATTGAAGCTCATAATGAGACTTAGGTTTTCATCAGCATTTCCATCCATGAATTATTGAGTGCCTAGCTACTCTAAATGAAAAATTATTTTCAAATTTCCATCTAAAAAACTAACCATTAATCGTTCGGTGTTGATTTCTGGTGGGTCAAGTAGTCTTCCAAGTGCAGCAGTGAAGACAAAAAATGATACAACTACCAAAAACAAAGCATTCACAAACCCTGACAGTATTTCAACTCTACCATACCTGTAACATACAAAATAAATAATATGAACTTTAATATATAGGCAAGTTTAGAGTAGTAATTGACCAATAAAATATGTTCACTAATTTGTATAACGTGAAATATAAAAACATTTAAACAAAATCTGAATGGTGCATTAATTGATAATTACTCAATCAATCAATCAATCGTTTATTGATTAATTTACTACTAATGAACTAAACATCCTTGCAGTAAAAAGTTTAGCCTTTCCAACATTAAAAATTTCTTTCTTCTAAATTTTTATCATGTTGTGAAACACTGTAATTTCATGAAAATGAGCATCTACTATAATCACATAATGTACCTTAGCTGTATTAATTGGCTCCATCTTACTGTCATCTTGCATTTTGTTTTAAAACAGAAAACTTCATCAAACTCCAGTTTATCATAATACTGAATTCACTACCACTAGTGGCGTATCCCCAAAAAAGCTCCCATCCCCCATTCTCCCCATTGAAAATGTCAAGCAAAACAATCATGATTAAGTAGTTAAAAATCACCTTTATTTTGCAACCTAGCATCCCCCTCACTTACGCACTGAGCCACTCAACCTTCGCTCCCCCATTAACCCCAAATATGCCACTGAATAGGCCTTTTCAACGAATCGGTACACATCTTGAAGTGATGACAAACAACTCAAGTGGGTCAGATAGGCTTTTCTTTTTCCATCTTGATTTCGGAGTTCAAAAACATTTTTCAATTTTTTTTCAATGATATCGTGGTGCAGAATAATCTTTTGAGAACATTTTCCAGAAAAAAATAATGTGATACGACATTCCATTACAGAGTTATGAATTTTTAGATAACATGAGGACAAGAATTTAGCCTCAAAGCTTATCTTGTTTCTGTTGGTTACGCACCACTGACTTGGGTTGTTTGTCATCACTTCAAGATGTCTAACGATTCGTGGAAAAGGCCTATACCACCAACACCAACATGACAGAAGCTTCTTGTAGATTCTTAAACTGACCTACGTTAACTGTTCAATTACTGATTATCTAATGTATTTATTAACTGACCCATATGAAAATATCCTTGTGCTTTTCCATTTGCTCATGATGGCTGCTGTCAAACCCAGAACCAAAGCTGTGCAGTCAAATAACATATGGAAGCCATCAGATAATAATCCAAGGCTGTTGGTCCAAGCCCCATATATAATCTCAACAAAGGTGAACATCTACATGAGAAAAAAATCCAGGCAACATTAACAAAAAATAAAAAAGATAATCATAATGGGACAGCATGGGACTGGTGTCATGGTTTAGTAAGCTAGGCCAGGTATATATTTTAGACATAGAGGTACCCTTAAGTTGTGACTGGATCACACTTGGGCAGAAGTGGATTAACACCATACAGAAGACTATCACAAGGAACATAGTCTGGTGTGTTTGTGGACGGCATAAATACAAACACTCCCCTTCCTCTACTATATGCAGTCCCCTATAGCAATCAATTAATCTCATAGCTACCCATCTGGAGATGCTCAAAAGCCACTTGTACTATAGATGAATTAGAAAATCAAAAAATACACTTCTTGAGCAAAAAAAATAACTGAAATGTAAAGTTCTTATTTCAAAATTAAACTGCCGAACTGGCTAAAAGTTCAAGTTGCATGCTGAGTCCAATCAAAAGAATGATCAACAGACAAGAACAAGTGAACTCCCCACATTATGATGGCAAGCCAAGGAAGCAAAAAATAAAATCTTACCAAATTTATACATAAATAATAGAAAATCTGTCTGGAATCATGCTCCTCTAATGTTTTCTTGAGAAAATGTTTACAAACAGACATTAAAGATTGCGATGTCCTCTTCAGAGTATCGCCACTGAAGCTGTACAGAGGCATTCCTCCGGGGGAATACCCTATCAGGTTCCCTTTGCTCTTGGGTGTGGCAGTGGCAAGAATATTGGTTCCTAAGGGGAAGGATAAGAATTTAAAACATTAATGTAAAATATACATATTGCTGGGGCAGATGAAAAATAGTAGTATTCAAATTGATTTAAAAATAAATGAAAACTTATATATTTTGATCTGTGGATTAGTAGCTAAGAAGCCTGCTTTCCAATCCTAAAGTCAATGGGTTCAATTACAATAAAAAAGTAACAATAGAGAGGTTTCGCACACGTAACCATTCTGTGTTTTTCGCAATCACAGCGCAATTCAGGCCTGGGGCCTTAGCTTAGCCCTACTGTACTATACTCTCTCTTCTCTCATCATGCTTCTCAAAGGTTATTAGTATATGTAAGGTTTTGGAAATTGAAATTGAAAATTGTAGCAGAAAAATATGTGTTGGTTATTTTGTGAGCCCTATTATTTATGACCCAAAAGTGCCTGGTTACAAGTAGGCCTAGGCCTACACAAAATTCCGACACCACTAAGGTCAAAGCACCGACGTTTTGATACCCCCCAAAATGAGACGCATCCTATCATAACTTTCTGTCTTCAAATGTCACAAAAATGACACGTACATATTCAAAAATACATTTATTTTTTACACTTACGTAAAATGTGAAAAAATAAACGAACATCCTACTAGAAATCCAAAATTTCCAGTGTTTTTCCCTTACGTGTAGTGAGTGAGATATGCGTATCGTCCACACGTTTAGTGGATAGCAGCGGCCGTATGACGTCAAAAAGACGTCCCACTAACCGTACGCATTCGCGTGCGAAACCTCCCTAATCTCCACAGGAAACATAGTTATATACCTGTTGATTACAGGTATAGATTATCACACCTGTACGGTGCTAAATGATAATTTATGAATTTTAAAAATACAAAAACATTATACAACAGATATTAAAGTATAATTATTACGTGGTGCATGTTGAGTATTCAAGCATGCTAAACAGAAAGCAGAAAAAGTGGTAATTATTTGAGAACAAACATGATTTATCAGTATAATTATTATTTAAATAAATGGACAAGGCGATAATGTTCAGTGCTCTCTTAATAACCATGATTGATGTGTTTGATGTTATTATGATGTAATTTTAAAGAAAAGTACATTTATAAGGGCACATATATTATTCATAGATGATTATTTATTCTTACTGCATAGAGGGAAGAAGCCTAACACCTTACCTAGTATAAAAAGAATGGTGCTGAACACAAATCCACCAGATATACCATGGTCTTCATTCATTTCAGAGCTTAGGTTCCCGACAACATCAGCCCCGTGTTTCCCCCACAACCAGCTCAGAGCAAGAGCACAGATAAAGATGCTGACGGAGCCATAGCGAGCCGTTTTGAAAATGTCCAAACGATTGATTGATACAGCATCAATATAATAATCAATAACAAATACGAACAAGATGACTGCTAAGAAAGGGACTATGAGGGTGCTATATGACTCTTGTAAACCCTGTAATAACAATATTATAAATTTTAAAAACAAAATCACCAAAAAGCATAAAAAATTTCACTAACATTAAATAGCTGATGTATAGCTCAATTAAGCATTGAACCAAAATTATTTTTATCTGTATATAGATTTTGAAGGGTTTATGTAGACAATATATTATGAACAATATTATATAAATGGTATATTTTCAAATTTCATCTAGCATTTTGTTTTTATGAAATGATTAATTAGCATAATCGCACAGATGCCAAAAACATCAGGATCCACCTTTCATATTACCATCTTTCTGCAAAGTTTAAAACCAATTGGACTTACAAAATGTTAGTCATCATACTAACAAACAATTTACTACTGACGACAACAACAAAAGCGACAACAAAAAGAACATGGGCAAAAACAAAAGCCTCCGCATAATGATATACTTACTTCATGAAATAATGAATGATACAGCAGCCAAGGAAATAGAAGAATGGCAGACAGTAATGTGGAGAATGCATGTAGCCTCTTGGCACCACCTATGTCCACAGACAGAGTGCGTGAAGCATTCCTAAAAGCTACATTTACACATGCAACCAAGACCAGTAACAATACCCCACCCTGAAAAAGACAAAGTTTTATCATTTAAAATGAGTAGGTGGTTATAATGAAATACAAGAAAATAATAATAGAAATATATTATTCAATTCTGAAATAATGGCAATTATATATGGTACTATAGTTTGGTGGCTTTGTTGTTAATGAAAAAATAGAAAGATTTTTGACAAAAAATTATCAGCCTTTGACTGACCTTTTCATCTGAATTTCCAAATAATGACTTTAAAGATACAAAAAATTGATGTCATTAAAGGATTTGATTCTATAGTATAATATGATTCTATAGTATAATTTAATCGTAATTTATTATGAGTACAACTAAAAGTATAAATGTATGATTTAAAATGAATGGCTTTTGTTCAATACTACAGAATATTTGTATTTATATTTGAATAGCAAAAACAGTAATTTTGAAAATAAAGACGGAGAGTAATTGTTAGTAGCTTAAGTGGTCATAATGCAAGAACTATTAAATAAAATATATATCTTACCTTATGATCTGACACCCCAAGCCATGATATAATCTTGTAAAATAGATGAGTTATTGCACTGCTATGAGGCCCCTCAGCTTGAAAGAAATTGTTAAGAATGATACATAAAATGAAACTACCCCCTCTGCTCAATAACTTTAAGGATAAAATGTTTTCACCATAGCCTAGTTAGTAATTTGTTCTGCTTATCTACATATACATGATAAAAATTAATTCACATTGATGTTGTTAAAGGATACGATGCTCGACCTCCTTGACCTTCAAATCCACATCAAACAGAAGCAGAGATAAGATGGCTACCAACAGTAAAAATGCTCCTCTGGTCTGAAATGCAAACAAAATGAAAGTAAATAAACTAATAACTTAATTAAATATACAAATCAAACAATTCAATTATTGAATTCTGTTAGCTCAACACAATATATAAAAACAAAATTATATAAAACTTACCCTTGATGGACCCCCTCCTGCACCAGTAAACAATGCAGCCCCAGCTGCTAAGATCACAACATCGTAGTGTTCAAATAATAATATAGTTCTATTAAGATATAGAAAAGGTTATTAAAAGTCTACCTCTAAAAAAATTACAATGATGATAATATGTATGATGATTGATGATTATTATTCTTTTGATATTAGCATTTTTCAATCTATCAATCAATTTTTATACACCTCCCTATTTAGAAAAGATGAGGTAAGCAAAATTGTATCACCTAAGTAGTATACACCATTAACATTGCTAAGATAATTACAGTTTGTTTCTGAAATTGCACTTACCTTGCCGGACCACATATTCTGAGGCCAAACATCCACAACAGTGTTATCAATGTACTGCCAAATGCATGTTTAAGGATCCTTATCCACTGAAATACAAAGATCAGGTTGTTAAGAGGTTTTGGAGTTAAATGACTGAGGAATCACCCTATGTGGTGTGTTTTTTGTCCTGTTTGGTTTTAGCTGTGATGAGGAGCTCTAGAAACACTCGGCTGATTAACAGATCTATTATGTATGGGCGGCCATTAGGGCCAATAAACTCTACTGCCTCCATTATACTGTAATCATCGAAGCTTTCAGGATTTTATAAACATGCTCATCTCTAATTTTGTACCTTGAAGATTTGTAAATTTCAGTGTAGTGACACAAATGGCAAATAAAGAGAACTTGAATAAACTTGTAAAAATTATATTCTCTATGAGTAGAGGGAAAAAAACATTGCCATCGTATAGCGAGATCAGAAATTATAAGTGGGTCATAGCTTCATAAACCTATAATAATCGTTAATTGCTAATTATCAATATATTTTTTCATGTAACTTATCTTTTACCACACCCAAGTATATATATTTATTGCATGGATGTTTGAACTTGCAGCTTCAACATTATAAATAAAAGCAAAAAAACATTGAAAACAACAATGCTGTACGAAATATGAATGGATGTTGGGGAATTTAATGGAGCAATCACCATGATAATTCATGGTGCTTTCATCTTACAACAGATGAAAAAAGTATTTCAAATAGGCATAACTCACTTGGCGCTTTGTTACTCTTTTTCCTGAAGAAAATGGTTTTTGAAGCACCAGAAAAATACCTGCACACCTGCAAGAATGAGAAAAATAATTTTAAGTTATTATAATGTCAAACTCGTAATTACATTTGTGTAAATTATATTATTTCCATCCAACAGCAAGTGGCTTGCTGTCCAGGATGGAAGGAAGTGTTTATAAGTCTTAGGAAATGGATAATTAATTTAGCTGGTCCAATGCAGTTTGCCGGTACACATTAACACAGCTGGGTAGACTGAAGCACCGTAGAAACAGTGCGTTGCTTAAAGACACAAGCGAAATGCACAGCTAAGGATTGAAACCCCGACCTTGAGGTTGGGAAACCAAACCATTCTCACTGCGCCAAATCACTTCCACAATAAAGTCAATAAGAATGTTCACTTTGATGTAAAGTGCATAGAGGCACTGCTCAATATGTGCTACACAAATGTATATTATTATCATTAAAACTGTTTGGTTGCCTGTGTAATGGTTATGGTTTAGTATTTTTAAACCATCAAATAACCTATTAACAGAGTAAAACAAAGCAAAAAAAAAAAAAAAGTTTTATGTTGATAAAATAATCTTACCCTGATTTTATAATGAACACAAAGAGTGTTAAATGTACGGTCTTCAGAACATCATAGGCAATGAATAGTCCCAATGCACGCAGGAGTTTTGTTGCCACAAGCAAAAATATAAATGGTGTCAATCTAGAAATACATTAAGTTCAACATTTTCAGCAGCAAAATCATTAAAACATTATAAAATTAGCAGTTCAACTTGTTTACATGATTAAGAAATAAAACAATAACTGTAGCGATATTTGAATTCATTCTTTAATATTTCTATTGATATATAATACACATGACTTCAAAATACATTATGGTATTAAGCCTAGTTTGCTAAATTTATATACTTTCTTCAAATAGAAGTAATATAGAGAGCAACTTTAGCTGGGCCTTTGGTGCCTTGTAGGTAGGCACAGTGTTACGCCAGTACCAACATATAAATTGAGCTTTCCCCCTTATCCCACCTACCTGTGGGATAAAGGGGGGGGGGGGAGAGAGAGACAACATTTTCGGATAGTGTGTTGCATCTATTTCGATACATAACATAGATATGCATTGAATTGTGAATGGGAGTTGGGGGGGGGGGATCCGCACCTGGTCATGAGGGTATTTCAGGAGCTGAGCAATAAGACTAAAACCAGATGCTGGCTGGGATTAAACCAGTCATCAGCACAACAAGCAGGAACCAAACCTCTTGGCCAACTATTCAGTTTGAATAACATAATTAGAAATTAATTTAGAATTCATATTTCACCTTCTTGGGTCTACTCGACCTAAATGACTTCCTCCACCTGAAAACGTACTGTCTCCAAATTTGGCAGCCATGGTAACTCAATACAAACGTGCGTTGATCTTTTTGGTTTAACTCATTCTTATTCATGTATCTCTAAAAGGATCAATAATATTAAGTTAACCAATAAATCAATCACTGTATATCAGATAGATAAGCCACAATTTATGTATTTTCATATACTGTACCACTGAGCATACTGTAGGGTCTATCAATAAGATAAATAAAACAAAACCACTATAGCATATATTATCACCATGGATAGAGATACGGTACCGTATTTCTACTTCAATTTGCTAAACGTACGGTAAATGTCATTACATCATCATCACCACCCAATGAAGAGCCAGAATGTGCGCGACATCATTTTTCAAGACCGGCATTGTAGATCACCCACAGTGTAATATGGTGGGAGGTGAGCGGTATGACTTGCAAATAAGTCCTCGGTTTAGCACATGATTACCTAGGCAAGAGAATAGTATTTTCTTATAATAACTGTCATCTATAAATAGGCGCAGCGTAAGGGTTCCATTTACAGGTACACTAATTACACGTAATAAGCGTCATGTTATTTATCTATATACCCATAACAAGGAAGGCATGAATCCTCATTACGATGGCCCAGGCCACCTTGCTTATGCCTTTGCATAGAGAGTTGACGGGATCCAGTCAAGTCGCCCCCCCCCAGCAAAGTCGCACCCCTAGCAAAGTCCCCACCCACTAACCAAGTCGCCCCCTTGACTAAATCGAATATTATTATTATTAACAACAAACCTTTGAAACTTATTTAGAACTTTTCTAGGCCTAGGAGACAGCTACTGTAGCTAGGCCGGTGGTGTAGGACCGATTCGGCCATGAACAAGTTCGGCCCGGGATATATTTGTATGGAACGCCAAGTAGGCGCAAATCTATGCATGATGTACGTATGTGGGTGTGTGTGTGTGTGTATGTGTGGTTACAGTAATCTATTGGTGCTACAGTATCCATTATTTTGTGTTTTTGTTAAAGTCTTCTATGTTGCCAAATAATTACGGTAATGTGGTTTTAAGGAAATCCAGGCATTATTATGCTGCCATTAGTTTGCCAAAACAACAGTGGATTTGATTAAATTTGTGTAAGTCCCGTGTACGTTAAAAATTAATGATTTTGATGGCATATAGGCCAATTTCGTTTTATCTATTTAAAACAAACCAAATGTACATTATATATGCAATTATATGTTGATAATCGTGTTGTATTATCAGATCTTTATGCTGCAAATGATTTAATGTGATTTTAAGCAATTCAATGGCATTATTACTGCGGTGAGTTTGCGAAAAAAATCAGTGGATTTTATTAGGTTTGTGTAAGTTAATAAATGTTTTAAGATTCATATATTTCGTTTTATCTACCGGTATTTGAAACAAACGAACAGTGGATTTTATTAGGTTTGTGTAAGTTAATAATAATGTTTTAAGATTCATAATATATTTCGGTTTATCTATTTGAAACAAACAAATTTATGTTGATAATCAAACCAAAGGATTTTATTATTTTCATATTACAGTGTCGATGCACATATTGAAGAAGAGGAAGAAGAAAAGAAGAATGTTAATAATATTAATATACTGCCAAATTTTATTATACTTTTCGTAATATTATTAAATATTACAGTATTTGATGCTTTATGTTTCGTTGTATATTATTTCTAGGCCTATACGTTCTTAAATGATTGATTGATTGATTGATTTAAAGCAGAAAGTATATAAACGCCACAAAAAATCACATTACAGTATTAATGCCCTGTCCGGCAGTCCGACTGACGCTGACAAGCTACCGACCAACACTGTTTTTTTTTCTTCAATGATTTCGTGTATTATTTTAGAAAAAAAAAAAAACATGAAATACATCGCCCTAAAATCAAGAACTTTAACTGTAAACACCCTTCATTGAGAAGATAACAATAGAAATACACGTTTCCATGGTTACGCTTGTATTAGATAGGGCAAAACATGCCCATTCGTGCAGAACAAGTGTGCAGTGTCTGCCGATTGATGAATCACCTAATGCGAATTCACCAACTGAACCCAACCTGGTTTGAACGAGCAATAATACTGTTATAACACACAACAGAGGTTAATGATCATAACCAATGTCTGTATTACGCTTATGTAAAATAATTAATAGACAATAAAACAACACGTCGTATAGGCCATGGCCACAGAGCCTACATTATACGGTCTGTATAGGCGAACAACTCGGGTAACAACTACATTCCTGAACCATCGCACATGTTCGTACAGTTTCCATGTACAGTACAGAGATCAAGCCAGTCGGCTATTTTCGGCATTTGACATTCTTTCTTTGTCTCCGATAACATTCCTGAATTGGCGGCGTACAAAGACTTCGTCTCCGATAACATTCTTTCTTGAATTGGCGGCGTACAAAACTTTGTCTTTATTCTCCCAAGAGTATCATTGGACCCTACTTGTGGGAACGTTTCCCATTGAATTAATTGTTACTAGGCAACTTAATACTGGCAGCTTGATACCTATTTAAGGCAATTTATTTCCATTCATGCCTACAGTAGATTTAATTATTAATTAATTATTTAAATACGGTAACCAATTGGTCACTGTTATCTAGAACATATAATCGTCTTGCAATAGGTACGCTTGTTTAATCGTACATATATAATTATAATGCAGGATTAATTATATTATATTATATTATATACTTTATTCCAAGATACCTGTACAAATCAACTTTCTTGATAAGTTACAGCTATAGTTAAATTAAATTTCTTCCAAGCAATAAAGTTTCAATTTAGAATATTTTGCAGGATAAAACAATGTAAAACACTTCTTAACTAAAAATTATGCTATTAAAACTACTCCGTGAAACAATCAATTTAAACAATAATGTACTAAATCATATATTTAAACGGTATTGTGTTCTTCTAAGTAGAAGAAGTAAAAACAAACAATACATTTTTATTTAGGCCTATACTCTTTATTTCAGAAATTCAATTTTTTTACGGATGATTTCCCTGTACAGTATACCCCCTAACGTACCTGCGGCCAAAATTGCACTGATATCTAATTCACGCATTGATTACCTGTACACTACTCAGCGTTGAGACTTGGTTAGAGGGCGACTTTGCTAGGGGGCGACTTTGCGAGGGGGTGACTTGACAGGGGCGACTTGGTAAGGGGGCGACTTTGTAGGGGGCGACTTTGTAAGGGGCGACTTTACAAGGGGGCGACTTGACTAGCATTCGAGCTGACATACCACTCAGTCTTTGGTCTAATCCATTTATATGACAACACATGCAATAAAAACTGAATATACTGTAAACTGTAAATAAGAGGATTCTTATAGGATTACTAGAACTTTACTGTTTAAATAGGCCTACATCAAAATATATTCGACAAATATGACACTAATAATCATGATTGTGGAAACTCATTCTCTCGATCTGAATTCTGGCTGAACGAATGATGCTTACGATTGGTGGAAGTTACAGGACGAAGTCTACGTAAAGTTGGGTAAATCAAGGAGGTATCGGTTATGCATGTGCATTCAAAGTGTATGAATATGTTGGTGGATTGTAAAGCGTGGTAATTTTGAATATATTATAACCTAGGCTTCTTGGACTAAAACTTGGGATGAGATTTTGGAAGTTGAGAACTTGACAATGCAGGAATTAGTTTATGACTGATATATGCCACCCAGATCGAAGCTGCCAAACGAAGAATCCAAGCATAGGCCTAGGCCTTGCTTAGTTTCCTCGCCAAGCGAAGAATTTAAGCAAAGCCTAGTGACATATGAGTTTGGTACAGGATTCAGTCCTTGTTTGATAACGGCTATATATAGATAAAAGACATGACTCTTACTGAGTGGAACCATACGCCTATTTATCGACGACAGTACTAAGTACAGTATTGTACTTTTCAATGTTCTATTAAATTTACCCTGTGCATCATTCGCATTTTACCGCTCATCATAGGTGGTCTGCAATGTCAGTCTTGAAAGACGACGTCATGCATATTTTGGCTCTTCATTAGGTGATGGTGACGTACTGCCATTTACCGTACCTTTAGCAAATTGAAGTAGAAATACGGTACCATATCTCTAGCCACGGCGATATATCTGAATCTCAATCAAACTTAATTACCACTGATCAATGAATGTCATAGTTGATTGCAGACATCAATATGTTAAATACACAATATCAACAAAACAAATTGCTTTCTCAAACATGGCGGTGAAACAACAATATCGCATCAAAAACCATGAAATCATACAATTAATAATTACACCATTAGAAAACTTAGTTTTTATTATTTTATTAACCAATTAACCACTCTTGGTGGTATTACTATAAATTAATACTTTCGCATCTGTTTCCATTGTAGTGTTTAGTAGGATAGGCCTGTTAGCTGTAGCAGTATTATTAGGCCTCTACTGTAGCTAGGCTAGTAGAGTAGTAGTAGCAGTAGTAATAGTAGTAGTAGTCCTAGTATCTTATTATGATAAATGAAGGACGCGACAGTTGGTCCAAACAGGATTAATAATTATCAACAAAAAAGGAACTAAGGACAGGTAGGCCCAGGCCTTAATAATCTTAATCGGCGCTAATGCACTTCGTGTACTTCACCCTAACCCTAACCTTATAACATTATAGCAAGGCTGAAGTTGAGGTTAAGGTTAGGGTTAGGGTGGAGTACTAAAGTGCATTAGCGCCGCCTTAATCTTAGCATAGGCCTAGCCTAACTAGTAGTAGGGCCTAGGCCTAGCCTAACTTAACTAGTAGTAGTAGTAGGCCTAGGCCCTAGTACTAGGCCTCGTAGTAGTAGTAGGCCTAGGCTAGGAGGTTGGCAAACTACACCGCACGATATTGACTAGTTAAAATTGTACCATACATGACCTATAAATCTTACTTGTGTGTGATGATGTTATTCTAAAATCCAGACGAATTTATTGACCAAAATATCATGAAAACTAGATCTGAATTGAACAACAAATTCACACCGACGTGTCTTCGTAGAATCGTAGGAATGTAGCTATCGGCACTGCCGCAGTGCGAGAAAAAGCTGCTGTTTTCTAGTCTATCGGCACTGCCGCAGTGCGAAAAGTTTTTGATTCTATCGGCACTCCCACAGTGCGAAAAGCTGCTGTAAATTAATTGGATCGATGTTTTTATCGATAGATGATATTATGGTATCAATAATTAATTAATTAATTAGGTCTAGCCTAGCCTGTATTATTGTTAACATTATATTATATATGTTTTACAATTAATAATTATAATTATTTCTAATTAAATTATTAAATATAGGCCATACATTATATAGGCCCTATTTAAGGCCTAGGCATATATATATTTACGTATACATAAAACAATAATAATAATACTAATAATAATAATAATAATAATAATAATAATAATAATAATAATAATAATAATAATAATAATAAATTTACGATAGTTTGATTAATGAGATAATAATAATCAGCATATTAAATAAACTTACGTCCATGCAAAACCTGCTTTTAAATAAAAATTTTATCTACCGTACTGTATTTGATTGTTTATTTTCTGTAACAATAATAATAATATTATCAATAATAATAATATTAATAATAATTATAATAAAAATGAAAGTGCTCGAATAATGCTTTTATAACGAAATAATAATACTTCACACTTCAATAGGCCTATTTACGATAGTGTGATTAATGAGACATTTGTTGATTAATTTATAGACAATGGTTGATAGTAAATAACAGTAAAATAAATATCCACATAATTGTTGAATGCAGGGACCTACCGGTAACTCTAGTAATACATCAAAAATACAAATTATAATTCGGGACGAATAATTATCTTTACATGATATGACCCATGTCATGTCTACATCGTGAACTCAAACGGTAAAGTAGTACGTACCGTCCCGATTCAAGGAATGACGCCGGGACCTTATTAATAATAATTAATAATGGCTACAATGAATTTTCATTTGAAACATCTTACTTGAATCTATTATGCTGTGTATGATGAAGGTGATCAGGCATATAGATTTCAAGAAAAACACAAAAACAGCGTGGTGATTAATCCTGGTGTGATTAATCCTGGTGCTTTCTAAGACGGAGTCGACGTTAAAATAAATAAAACTTGGGAAAAAAAATAACTGTTTCAAAGCCATGTTTGCATCCATTTTTATATCATTTGAAACATCTTACTTGAATCTATTATAATGTGTGTGATGATGGTGATCAGATATACAGATTTCAAGAAAAATATGAAAACATTATCAGCGTGTGTGGTGTCCCTGTGCATTTTTTCATACGTACTTGTGACATAGGTTTATGTACTTATTAAAACACCACGGCGTCCCCACCGATCGATTTAACATGATGTTGTTATGTGGGTGTTTAATAGATTATTGAGAACGGTAATATCACGGAAAAATAGATAAAATGACAGTTGGATGACCAACAAACACAACTGAAGACAATAGTTCGTCATTAAAAGTTATTTAGTATAACTTTATTCGGAAAATTAATCTCAAAATCGAGTTGCCGTCACCGGCGTTGTCAGTGACGTCGTATGATTTGTGTGCGATTTTTACCAATTAACCCCTAAGTAAAAAAAAAGTTGAGCCATGTAATACCTTGCATAGGCGTAGATCCGGGGGATGGGGATATATCCCCCCCCACAATATTTGACAAGGGGGGATGGTCCATTGTATCATCCCCCCCCCCAATATTTTGACTATGTATGGGATAAAATGGAGCTTTACACACTTCAAAAGACTGTCACAGAAATAATTTGCACAGTCTTATGCGCTTACAAAGATGAAAATTAGCATAATTTATTAATGTTGATAACAAAATTATTTTATCTGGTACCAATCTAAGCTCTTCTTCCTTAGATGTTAGATGTGCTTGCAAAGAGAGCCACATTTCACA